GAGGCACTTGATGGTTTTATTGTGCCTTAGAATATTATTTTTGCCAAACTGTGGTATTATTTCCAAGTGTCCTGGTAAAGGTTAGATCAAAATTAGCCTGAAAAGGAAGATGCTGAGGGCTACTAATGCAACCTTGGATTCTGGATCACCACTATATTCCTCGTCAAAAACTAAAAGGGAACTTTACTCAGCTGCATTGTCCTTTAGAAGAAAGGCCCATCCTCCTTCAGCTTCAAGAACAGAATTGATACCTCCCCTCTCCCACCGTCTCTGTGCTCTATTACATCTACTTACCTCAGTGCAGCTTTCTATAATAATATAAGGTACACAACCGATTTGGGAAATTTTGTTCAAGATACTCCACAAAGCTCATCTTACCCCATTAATAAGTTTCAATAGTTCTCTAGGCCTAACAATCCTTGTGTTAGACTTCACCTTCACATTAACCCCAGAATGGGCACTGTTTGGCATTTTTGCAAATACCAACCAAGGTTGCCACCCAATAGGACAAAGGGTCCTACTGCACACTTTGGCAGGTGCCTGTGAAATGCCAGTGTAGATAACTGATCCAAAACAGAGGTTTCTGCTTTCAGGCCAAACACACTGGCTTATTAACTAGATTTTTATACGAGTGACACACAATAAGGACAAAAGAGTCAGGCAGTGTTTCTCTAAATAGTCCCATTGTTTAAAGCTCGTCTTAGGCATGGTGTATGCGACACTACATAAGTCCCTTCTATTCATGTTCTGGAGTTAGGCACTCATGTCACAGGAATGAAACCCATACCACAGTGTTCCCTTTTATTTACTTTTGTGGATGACATTTTCTTTTGGTTTGAATACATAAGGTGTAGATTGTGTACACGGATTTCATTTGTCATTGTCAAAGATATTGTTCACCTGCTGCTATTTCAATTCCTTTCTTAAATAAAGATATTTTAAAGACAGCAAAGAAAACCAGAAAGATGGACCATTAACTTGTTACTTCCTAAGGTCATCAAAAAGGGATGGTGGCTTCTATAGCAACCATTTCAATGAGGAGTCATACCATTTTCTGTCTTTTTACGTTTCCACCTGTCACCAGGCTCTGGTTCTGGTTCTGCAAGGGCTATATCTACTTCTGTTCTCCTGGACAGATGTGTGGTTACAATCTGGTGTTCATGTTTAGCAGACATTACCAATTTCCTTTAGTCAAGATTCTCGAGAGGATTATTAAAGTGGCACTGTCATGCCGAACTTACCTTTCCTCAATCTCTTCCTCTTCTCCCCCTCTCTCAGGATCTGTTATTATTTTCTTCCTGTCTTCTTTAGTTTTCTTTAAAATCATAAGACAAAGTAGGGACTCTTTGCCTTATGGAGGATTCCTCCGCTTGACCAGCTCTGACCAGCGGAGGAGCAAAGTGTGCTTAATTTCCGCTGGTCAGAGCAATTTTCCCATGATTCCTAGCTTTCCTCAGTGTTCCCACAATGCTTC